CGCGTCCGATCGTCTCGCTTCGACGTGTTTACCCGTCGTTCACCTTGCTTCCCCCCGCTCCCTTTACCGCGCGCGAGGAAACCATCCTTTCCAAATCGCTCGCCGTTTGCTCCGATCCGATCCGTCGAAACCCTCGAGCGATCGCGGACAGTTGTCGGGTTGCATCGACGCGAACCACGCTTCGACCATCGGGCCCGTCCCCGATTTAGCCGCGATTAACCTCGCAGATTCCTCTCGCCGCTCCGAAGTAGCACGTCGATCCACCCAATCTGCGCCAGTTCGTTCGTTAGGTCGCCGATAACTTATTCAAACGGAGCACGTCCTTGTTCGATCGTTCTTTCCATTTTTACCGGCTCCACGATGTCCTTGACTGGCGTGGTTCCGCTGGCCTCCGTGTAAAGCGTCCCAAATGTACGGAGTCTCGTTGCTCTCGCTGGGCAAAGTACTCGAGCGAAGGCGTGGCTTCTGCGAAAAACATGCAGAACGAGCCGGGAAGCTCTTAGAATTTGATTGTAAACGCGACTGAAGTGTTTCTCCATCTTATTGTTAGAGGCTAAGATCGTCGTTAATGGGCGTGGCATCGCTGCTCCAGCTTTCTAGAATACTCCTGTGGGCGTGGCTTTTTCTAAGACGATTCAGTAAAGCTGAAGCTGTTAGAAAATTAATTTTAATCGAGACTAAAGCGTTTCCAACCTATCGCCAGTGTCTACGATTGCCATTAATGGGCGTGGCATCGCTGCTCCAGCTTTCTAGATTATTCCTGTAGGCGTGGCTTCTTCTCAGACGTTCCAGTAGAGCTGAAGCTGTTAGAATTTAATTGTAATCGCGACTAAAGTATTTCCAACTTATTGCCAGTGTCTAAGATCGCCATTAATGGGCGTGGCATCGCTGCTCCAGCTCTCTAAAATACCCTCAGCAAGCGTGGCTTCCTCTGAACCCACCTAGAAGAACCCGAAGCCCTTAGAATTGTACCGTGATCCTAACAGAAAACACCCTGTCCATGCTTGCAGCGTCTAGATCGTCCATAATGGGCGTGGTTTCGTTGCTCCGGCAATCTAGAATGCCCGTGCAGGCGTGTCACAGTTGCTCACGACGATTTTCCGTAGAACAGAGCCCCACTGCTCGCAATTCGAGAACGTTATTTCTATTTTCGAAAGTCTACGCCGAAGTAATTAAAGGGTTCGTATTTCCGTCGTGTCCCCGTGAATTTCAGTTTGTCGACCCAGTTCCTCGTCTGAGAAGAGAGCCGGGGCAGGAGGGAGGGAGGGAGGGAAGGAGACGGTAGGAAGGATGCGCGGGGTTGGACGGGCGTCCCGGAAATTATGAAATCGTCGAAACGGTGTAATTCCCGGCGAAGACGACGGCCACGTCGGAAATGGATGTAGCTCGTCTCCCCTTCTTTCTTGGCTATCTGCGCGCTCCCCCGGCGAGGGCTCGGCGCGAGACGGAGCCGGCTCGCAATTCCCGGCGCTGTCTCTTCTCACCCCGAGACAATTTTCGATTCCGAGAGTTTGCCTCGGAAATCTATCGCCGGGACCGGAAAGGGGAGCCGTCGCCCCGGCGAACGGCGCCGAGACACGGAACGAAGTTAGCCGAGTTCCCTGAATCTAAATAGGGGACGATTCTCTCGATTTCCGCGCGAGCCCCGAGACGAGACCAGACGAGACGAGACGAGACGAGACGCGGCGCCGATTACTACCTGTACAGAGACCGGGCCGAGCGTGCTCTTGGCGTTAACCTGTTAACCTGGCGGCGACCTGACGTCTTCGTGGAACTTCCGGTCTTCTCTTTTTTAGCGTCGTCCCCTGTCTCGCCTCGATCGACGATAACCGTCGGATGCATGCGACGAAATTGCAATTTGTTTAACACAGGGGTGTCAAACTCGCGGCACGAGATGAACAGTTTTGATGCCAAGTATCAGGACGTAAACAATAATTCAACTTTATATATGTTTATTACAATGTACTAAGTACATTAAATTATTATTTACATTAAATTATTAATGTTAATTATATTAATTAATTATATATTATTACATTAAATTATTGTTTACGTCCTGATACTTGACATCAAAAATGTTCATCTCGGGCCGCGCGGCTCGATCGATCGCGATCGGCTCGCACCGGCGAATCGTGATCGCGTTTATCGCAGAGAAAAACCTCTCTCCGTTGTTATTTATATATTCCGTTTTTATTTTTGTTTATAATCCGCGGACACCGCGGTCTCTCGCTTCCGAAAGAAAGGAAAAACAATTAATTGCTGTCCCCGAACGAAAACGATTGGACGCGATTTTTAAATTAGATTAAAACCATCGGGCTCCGCGCGTAATTTCGGATTGGACGGAGAGAATCGCCGGACCGTACGGAACGCCGCGTTTAATCTCGCCCGCGCGGGGGATCCGCGGTAATTAACGGACGAGATTTCTGAGGAACGGCGCGTTAACAAGTCGCCGCGGAGGAGATTACGCGTCCGCTGGACCGCGACGCCGACGATTCCGCGGGACAAAAGACGGTAACTCCGCGGACGCGTTACACGGGATCGCGGCGGCTTGTTCGTTAGCCACGGTAAAAAAGCCTTTGAGCCCGCCGGAGCTTATTCACGATCGGCGAAAGCCGCCATTGTGGCCTACCGGAGGAGGATCCCTTCGGAGTGTACATACCCGGCTCATTTCCGGCATCGATTTTCGCGGGGAATAGCTGCTCTTCCACGCGCCGCCACGGAATTTACATTATTCTTCCGTCGAGGAATCGCGTTCGGCGGGAAAAAAAATGCTCGACGTGGGAACGTCGCCGGATAAATTACCGCTCGGAAGCCGACGCAGACGGTTTATTAGGACGACGACGGTCGACGTTTTCAACCGGCTCGCCGCGTTGCGGAGATCGCACCGAAACGTGCCGGGGGGAAAAAAATTCGCGACCGAAATCTATCGTAGCACCACTCTTGCGTAGGTTTTTGCTACCTTTGTCGAGTGACCCAAAATTTTCGGAGAAATTATATACATATACATGCACATAGTATGTATACGGCGCGGCTAACGAGCAGCTGGCATTTGCATTTCCACTTGCATTTTAAATATCGCGGCTGCTGTAACGCAGCAACGTTGTATCTTCTGCGTGCATGCCGATGTTCGTTCGTTCGTTCGTTCGTTCGTTCGTTCGTAGCCAAGCCATCGAATGACCTTTTCGTAGAATCGGATCGTGGGTAGAATAAAAGTTCACGTTTTTAACGCGTTCGAACGTATATCCAGCGAGAAACGAACCCTTCCCCGTCAGAATGTTCCGGATCGATGTTCAGAAAATTATGTCAAAGAAGATCGGCCGTTCTACACACGAGAAAATTAAAAAAAATTGTGTCACGTTTCGACGAGTGCCTCGGTGGAAATTATGTAGAGAAATGGTTTATAATGCGCGTGTACGGTAAATTCTCCCTAATTGACGATCAGGTTCTACAGAAAAATGGACAGTTTGGGAAGAGGAGATACGATCATTCGATCCTCGCGACTCCTTTTTATAGTTAAAGTTTATAGTGATATATTATATATATATATATAACTATAATATAGTTATATATATCGCTCGATACGATTGTTTGAGCCTTGATCACTATAATATAACTCTATAATATATCGCATCGATCGTCTCGACACAACCTGAGCGCCGATTAGGAAGAGTTTACCGTATCATGAAATTCGCATGAAAATACATCGTGAAAGGAAGCACATATTTTTTCGACGATATCAATCGGAGCATACATCCCGGACACGCCTCGTAGTTTGTTCAAATATCTCGTGCAGTCGCGGAGAAATGCGGTTCCGACGTTCGATGTTTTTTCGACGATGCGCCGCCGATCGAGAAATATTCCGAGCTCCGGAGAAGAACGGATTCCCGGGCGCGATGATTATCCTCGGCGCGAGCTGCCACGCGTTATTTCCCGTCGAACGAAACGATATTACGTCGATAACGGGAGCCAACGCCACGGCCAATTCGTTCCGGGCCGGCGGAAGGAACGTCGATCTATCGGCAGATAAATTCCCTCGATCGCCGGCTAAGCGGCAAACCCATCGTCGCGTGTACGGGTCCGCTCCCGGAAACTTTCGGACCATGTGGACCTACCTTCATCCCCCTCTTCACCCCCGATTTCGTAGATTTGCACGCCAACGACTCTGCACCTACGGATTTTCTCCGGGCGGCGACGCCTCGTATCTCTTTCCAGGATCGAAGCGATCGTGATAATTGTAAGCACTCCATCGGCATAACCATTCGCCTCCTTCCGTCGCTCTTCCGCTATCTCTTCCCGAGAAATATCTCGACACGTTCGCCGAATTGAACCCGGCTGCGCGATATACTGCAGTTTGTTCCCAGAAATGTTCGGACGTCGGAATTGAAACCGGCAGATCCGAGAATACCGAGTCGCGATTCTTCGAGCGGCGCGTTTTTAAAGAAACTGGTAATGCTAGAATGAGAAGGATAATTTAACTCTTTTATTTCTAATTTTTTGCCACGATTCGACGGCAATTCGGCGGCCACATGGCACGATTCGATAGCAATTCGGAGGCCACGTGACACGATTCGACGGTCACGCACCTAGTACAGTAATTTCTCCCTAATTCGCGTTCAGATTGGACAATTTGGGAAGAGGAGATACGATTATCGCGGCTTATTTTTATAGTTACCGATTGGCAACAATTACAAAAAGAAGACAAGGCTCGAATGACCGTGTCTCCTCTTCCCAAATCGTCCATTTTTATGCTCAATTTTGTGAGGAATCAAGGAGAAATTACTGTACCCACCGCGTACCTTGTACGGTTTTTCTTACCTGGTGCACGCTATAAATTACATAGACGTCGGACTATCCCAGGGAAATTCGCAGCAAATTAGACATTTCCGGGAGAAATTGTTGCATAGACTTTTGCTCTTCGGTCGAAGGGAATGCTGCATTTTCAACGAACCTTGGTTTAATGCGGTCCGCTCACTCAGCTTATGGGAACTTTATTGTTTCAGAGCACGAGAACGCCATGGTGCAGGGCATCGTGACGGAGGACGGCTTGTTCGACGGCTGCATCATCACCGGATTCGAGGAATATTACATCGAGCCTACCAGCAGATACTTGAATAAAGATATGGACACGTCACCGTCCTATCACAGCATAGCTTATCGTTCCTCGGACGTGTTGCCGCCGAGGCGGTCCCTGTCTTGCGCGAGTCATCACCTGCATCACGGGAATCTTCAGGATTCCTTGGAAAGGTCGTCAGAAAAATTCCTGGCCGGCGTGCACGATCACGCGTCTAAATATAATCATTGGACGTCCGCTTATCCAATTAGTCGAGGGAATTAGATGACTCATTGATTGCTCTCCTGTTACGAACAGTACAACTATCTTGTATCCCGCGCGCGTGCAATTTGTTCGAACGAATTCCGCCAAAGAAGTACCTTTAAAATCTCAACAATCCCCTAGAACGAGCATTGTCGAACCGATCGCTCGACCGTCTCGACGGCGGATTCGGTTATTAAACGTCGATATTTTGTCGAAAGTTTAATGCAAGGAGATTTTCCGTTGTGCGTTCGCCTTGTATTCCGAACTCGAGCTTGGCATTTCCATAATCGAGCATTCGAAGACGAGAGAAAAAGGAAACGGGGCCGTGGTTGTTCGCGAGCAAGGGACCACGATCCCCCTAGTTTAGGCAACCCTCGTGCACCGAAGTGTCTCGTAACGGAGCCGCGCGCACCCTTGCCCCTCGGCGTCGCAAACCGGCGTGCTCGCGGCTAGAATTGTACAACAATACCAGGCGTTGGTACAGTGACGGGGGCGCGGATCTTCTCCCCGGGAAAATCCTAGTTAGTGCCGGAGAGTGTCTCCGAACGAGGCGTGGATTTTCCAGGTCTCGTTATAGGCGCGCTCATTAACGTAACAAGGTAACAGCTCTAAAACATCCGGGGTAAATCGCGTTACGTTAACCGAGGATGAAAATGGATATAACGAGAGCTAGCGAACGAGACCGAGAGAGAGAGAGAGAGAGAGAGAGAGAGAGAGAGAGAAGGGGGGTGGAAAGGGAGAGACACGATCGTGGGTTAAACGTCTGCATCGTCTGAGGTTTATCAGCGCGGAGCACAGAGGCGCTCCTTCGGCGCTAATTTCGTTACCGATTCCTCGGGACGCGTTATGCTCGTAGACGTGCGTTAAGCGCGTTAGAACCGCGCCGAGGGCTGTAACAAGGTTTCAACCGCGGATCCTCAAACATTCCCANTCATTGATTGCTCTCCTGTTACGAACAGTACAACTATCTTGTATCCCGCGCGCGTGCAATTTGTTCGAACGAATTCCGCCAAAGAAGTACCTTTAAAATCTCAACAATCCCCTAGAACGAGCATTGTCGAACCGATCGCTCGACCGTCTCGACGGCGGATTCGGTTATTAAACGTCGATATTTTGTCGAAAGTTTAATGCAAGGAGATTTTCCGTTGTGCGTTCGCCTTGTATTCCGAACTCGAGCTTGGCATTTCCATAATCGAGCATTCGAAGACGAGAGAAAAAGGAAACGGGGCCGTGGTTGTTCGCGAGCAAGGGACCACGATCCCCCTAGTTTAGGCAACCCTCGTGCACCGAAGTGTCTCGTAACGGAGCCGCGCGCACCCTTGCCCCTCGGCGTCGCAAACCGGCGTGCTCGCGGCTAGAATTGTACAACAATACCAGGCGTTGGTACAGTGACGGGGGCGCGGATCTTCTCCCCGGGAAAATCCTAGTTAGTGCCGGAGAGTGTCTCCGAACGAGGCGTGGATTTTCCAGGTCTCGTTATAGGCGCGCTCATTAACGTAACAAGGTAACAGCTCTAAAACATCCGGGGTAAATCGCGTTACGTTAACCGAGGATGAAAATGGATATAACGAGAGCTAGCGAACGAGACCGAGAGAGAGAGAGAGAGAGAGAGAGAGAGAGAGAGAGAGAGAGAGAAGGGGGGTGGAAAGGGAGAGACACGATCGTGGGTTAAACGTCTGCATCGTCTGAGGTTTATCAGCGCGGAGCACAGAGGCGCTCCTTCGGCGCTAATTTCGTTACCGATTCCTCGGGACGCGTTATGCTCGTAGACGTGCGTTAAGCGCGTTAGAACCGCGCCGAGGGCTGTAACAAGGTTTCAACCGCGGATCCTCAAACATTCCCAGACGAATCGCCGGCAATTAAATTAACACCGAGCGCGCAGACCGTCGGCTGTCACCTCGCCGTTCTCTGTTGTATGTACACACGGAGATCGGGCTCGCCTCCAGGCTTTCTTCTATTGTTGGCGCACCTGTTTGTCGCTCTGCAATCGTCGACCCGAACACCTCCGGAGAGTCTGCTCCAACGATTATACGAATCGACGGCGTCCGCCGCTTCTTGGATCCTGTTCGGACGCGACGTATCCGCGAACAGTTCGATAACCGGGGTTCTCGACCCGCTCGCAGAATCTCTCGGCCTGGAAATTCCTCGCGGACGCTCGAAACGTTAACCAAAATATGTACGTGTTCGGTTCTCACGCGGTCGCCGCAGTTTTTATATCACAGCTCTCGCGCGTTATCCGTTTTCTCCAGCATTTTCGCGGTTTCGACTCTTCGCCACTCACCGTTTTCCATAAAACTTCTTCCGCTTTCGTTTTCAGCGCGGCCGTCGAAACCGCGCCCCCCTAGATTTTACCCCCTAGATATATCGTTCGACGTATTTTATTCAGCGAGCGAGATTCAATTTCTCTCGTCTTCGAGCTCGGTCTACGGCGTTCCTTCCCGCGAACCATTGTAACAGAACGCGTCAGATATATTCTTCGAATGTCTTGGAAGGCATATCTTGTAAATCATATCTTGTTGTGTCGTATTCTTCCAACGTATCTTTCATGTTGGACAGTCCATGCAACCACGCCCACCCCCCTCCCCCTAAATCTTAAATGTACAGCGATACGATATCAAAAGTTGTAACTGGACTGCGGATTTTATGCACTTATGGCAAAAATGGCTGGACGAAATTTAAGGCAGCGAGAAGATCCAGTGAGACCAAGAATATCTGTGCACTGATTTCGGCGTGCTAAAATTATTGAACTATTGAACGAGCAAATTATGCTCACATTATACATATATATACTATATAATATACACTATGTTATATTACATATTATATTATATTATAGTATATAATATTATACTATACTATACTATACAATAATATACACATATAATGTAATATACGTATATAATATACACTATGTCATATTACATATTATATTATATTATAGTATATAATACTATACTATACTATACAATAATATACATATAATGTAATATACGTATATAATATACACTATGTTATATAATATACATATATATTATGCGATCAAATAATAGATATACAAGTGCACCTTGCAATCGATGTGGGAAAATCTTTGCGTCGCATAAAGATCGGCGGTCTGGTTGCGACATTAGCGAGACTTTTTCGGTTCTCCGAAACCGTTTCAAGAAGCGAAACCGATGTCACAACAGCTTCGAGCCCGCGCGGTGCTCGGACGTCGCGAGCGTGTCGCGTAAGAAAACGCGACCCAGTATCGGGCCGGCTAATTGCAGCACCGTTGTATTACGCGGGGATTGCGTCAGATCGTCCCGGTGTTAATTTCCTCGCGTCGATTACGGCGCCGCGTGTATCCGTAGGAATCTATCGAGCATTCCGATCGCGCTTACGGCTGGTCCCGCAAGAATTCCGCACGGTTTTCCATGGATCCGTGCGGTCGGGCCCGGCGCGGTGCGACACCTTGTCCGTTCCCCGTTCTGAACACGATTTTATATGTTTTTCCAGGGAGGAGGAGGAGCAGCAGCGGCGGCGGCACGGCCACGGGAACGACTCCCGGACGTTTTACGAACCTTTGCTCGGCGAGAACGTGGCTCTCTACTCGAGGGAGAACAGCGCACGGGTTTTAACGTCGGAGGAGAAGGATAACGCCGTGGCACGTACCGAAACGTGAGTTCCTGCGAGAAAGAGCCGGCGCGCCGAAATCACGAGGAGAGAGATCCTGGGGAGACCCCGCCGTCGAACCCGACCGACCGGGTTTTAGCCTAGGCTCCGGGGTCGTTTCTCGTTTCACCGAATCGTAAAAATCGCGAGACGAAAGTTTCTCGGGCGTGCTGCCGTACCGGAATAAGCTTTTTATCCGAAGCGGAGAGGCGAGCCCGCGCCGGGGCCGCGGAGGACGGGGTGGTTCAAAGAAATTTACAAATGGCTTCCGACTTTGGTTACAGAACCGGCGGCGGCGGCGGCGGCGGCGGCGGCGAAGATCGTATCCCGAGACATTTGTACAAACGAGCCACCATCGATCCGCGGAAGACTACCTGCATGATCTACCTGCAAGCCGACCATCAGTTCTTCGCGCGTTACGGCACCGAGGAGGCGTGCATCGAGGTGATGACCAGACACGTGCAGAGGGTCAACTCCATCTACAGGCACACCGGTACCGTTTTTCGCGCGGATCGCGCATTATTTATTCGTCTTTCACCGGGCCACGATCGAGAAGCCACGATTTCTCTGTGTCCGGGCAAAAACAACGCCGTCGTCAACGATTCTCGCCCGGCGAGTAGAGGAACAGTTCGGCGAACGTCCCCGAACACGCTTAATGATCCTATTTGAAATGGGATTTACCGAAGTTAGTCAACACTCCCGAGCCCTCCGGGCGCGTCCCGGGGCTTAAAGCCCGATCCCAGCCGGTTATTAAGAGTCGGTTAGACAGCGGATAGAAGAGGATAGCGGGATCCGGTGAAATCGGATTCTTTATTGTTCGCAGATTTCAATCAGGACGGCCGGCCCGACAACATCAACTTCATGATCAAGCGTGTGAAAGTTCACAACGAGAACGCGCTCAAGGATCCCAATTATCGATTCCCCGGCAACTACGGCGTGGAAAAGTATCTGGAGCGCTTCGCCGGTAAATAGATCCCCCGCCCCCCTCCCCCCACAGTAACTCGACCGTTCTCATATCCTCCGGTTTCCTCGAAGAAAAATCGAGGAACCCGCTCGCCCGATCAATTTAACCGAGAACTTCCTTCCTGGTCTGTTTGCAGAGGAGGATTATGACGCGTTCTGTCTGGCTTACATGTTCACCTACAGGACCTTCGAGCAGGGCACGCTCGGGCTCGCCTGGACCGGCGATCTTACGAACGCGGGCGGAGTGTGCGAGAAGCATGGCGTAAGTTACGCTAAAAACTCGCGGAATTTCAGACTGCGGACCGGTGGAGGTGGTCGCCGGTGCTTCGGCGGGCCAGCAGGAACCGTAAAACGACCGCCGAGCCGCGTGAAGAATCCACTTTCCTCGGAAAGTTGCCGCGAAACACGATCCACGGCGGCTTCCTTTTATCTTTCCTTTCGGTTTCTCTTTCACGCGCGTGTCTGGCAGCAGCGGCAGTCCTGTATGCAAACTAATTTTTCCGTCGATTTTGTAACGTAGAATCTACCACCGGTTTTGTTGTGTCCTCGGCATTTTACGATTCCGCGCGTGCTCGCACGTACGTCCCACTTGCAATAAAATGTTGGTCGCTGGCCCGCAGACGTTCGGCGTAGCTAAGGGTTCGGAATTAAGGATGAGTCTTTCGCCTAAATGTATGCCAAAACTTTGCAGTACTATCGGGGGAGCATGAAGTCTCTGAACACCGGGATAGTGACTCTGATGAATTACGGGAAGCACGTGTCGCCCGCAGTTTCTCACGTCACTCTGGCCCACGAGATCGGTCATAACTTCGGCTCGCCGGTGAGTAGCCCCTGGAACACCGCTAGCCGCACGCGCGAACGAGTTTTGCCTAGCTTCCGGAGCGGCCGGCGGAAGCCGGTGAAACGTGACGGAGAGCGGGTGGACAGGTGTCCGGGCTGGTTTTTCGAGCCGCGGCCGGAAAAACAGCTATCTAGCTCGATGGGGACGACTGTCGATATACGAAGTGGCACTTTACTTTGTTCCAGCACGATCCGGCAGAATGCGCGCCGGGCGGGGAGGACGGAAACTTCATTATGTTCGCCCGCGCGACCAGCGGCGACAAGCGTAACAATAATCGTTTCAGCCCGTGCAGCTTGACTGCCATCAACCCGGTTCTGAATAGCAAGGCTCGCTCGCCGAAGGGCTGCTTCACTGGTCAGTAGCGGTCTACACCCCTCTTCGTCGTTATTTTTAAATGGCCGGGCCACCAGTCACGATTTCATTAATCGCGCGAAAACAATTAAGAGAAACGGCTATTGACAGCCGGCGATCGATCCTAATGAAACTGGAGCTGCGGGCAAAATAATCCTGCGACGGGCGCATTTAAAGGCAACGTTCGAGTTGCTCTTCCGCGTGTTCTTGTATCGAATCTAGTACGAGGGAAAACTATAATACTTGTCCAATCCGTGTGCGGACCCGACTGACGAATCGACGTGTTTCCAGAACCACAAGTGTCGTTATGCGGGAACGGTGTGGTGGAGGAGGGCGAGGGATGCGATTGCGGCTGGGAGGAGGATTGCAGGGACTCGTGTTGCTTCCCTCAGCGTCGGTACCCGCCAAGGGGCGAAACCCCGTGCACCCTCAGGGCAGGCTCCGTTTGCAGTCCCAGTCAGGTACGTAGGACTTGCGGAACTTGTCGAGAAAATAGCTGTACGTTTTCCGGTGCTTAAATCGCGTGTAATCGTCGAACAGGGTCCGTGCTGCACCGCCGAGTGCGATTTACGGTTCGGAGACAAATGCAGGGACGACAATGGATGCCGGGACACGAGCTTCTGCGACGGCCGCACACCCCACTGTCCCCCTTCCATCAACAAGCCCAACAAGACGATCTGCAATCGTGAATTCGTATGCTTTATGGGGGTAAGCGTGTGTAGCTTTATCTGTACCTGTGTCGGTACCTTCTCTTCCAACTGCAACATTTCCCTTGGACGGATATTGTTTATCTCTTCCTCTCGCAGGAATGTACCGGCAGTATATGCCTCGCGTACGGCTTGGAGTCTTGCCAGTGCATTCCCGGCCCCAACGACCCGTCCACCAAGGCCTGCGAACTTTGCTGCCGACTTCCTGGAGAGAATCAGCCTTGTCTGTGCGTTGGCAATCCTCCTTGCGTTTGATCACGCGTGGTAGCATTTCAAGGGGCCGTTCGGCGCGAACTAAACGTCTTACCGCGTTGTTTAAACGTGCCCGACTAGAATTATCGAACGACCCACTAAAGTGTTAACCACCATTATACCAGGTGAATTGTATTAAACCCGATTTCCTCGTCCGTAGGTCGTCCTTCGACTGGAACTCTCCGCCTTACGACATCCCGGATATGTTCTCGAAACCAGGGACACCGTGTAACGACTACAATGGTTACTGCGACGTGTTTCAAAAGTGTCGAGAGGTGGGGTATCGTTATATTTCAACTGTCCGTCTCCGCCATTTTTGTTTTAACACGTCGTTTCTTTGCAGGTGGATCCCAGTGGTCCATTGGCTACTCTGAGGAAGTTTTTACTTTCCGACGAGAATCTGGCGACCTTCCGTCGGTGGATAATCGACCATTGGTATGCGGCTGCTTTCATCATCCTCGCTGCGATATCTTTATTGGTAGGTGTCTTTGTCTGGACCTTGGTCTCTTTGTTCTATATAGACCTAACGTTCGTGAAAGGTAGTCGAAAGTATTACAGTGTCAAAATCATTTTTACGACAGAAACGACCAAGGAGACACGAGAAGTGTAAGTTCTGCGAGACTGAAGCGTACGGTCTCTCGTATCCTGATGATGATCAGACTTGCGACGTTTATGCGATCGTTGCGAATAATCCCACAGAGTCGCAGTAACTTAACATTTTATTGAAATTCGCTGAACGTTTATAGTCTGAGGGCAATCGCTAGTTCATAGTTTCTAGAATCGCTAACTCTCGTCTCCCGACCATTGTAAGCTGTTTGACGATCATTCGCAGTACCAGAACAGATCTCGAGAATATGTAGAACCTATTGGGTCCGTCATCTTGCTGCTAACATTGTCACAAGTTAACGCCCACGATGGTAGACTACCATTGGTAGTGCTTGCAAAGCTCTTGTGAGCAGACTTTCACAAGACTTTCGTATACCGCAGGTTGCGAGCATGAGGGTGCTGGGCAAGCGGCCAGACCTCAAGCTCAAGTCAGTCACAATCATACACAGCTCGACGACGGAAACGGTTCGTCTGCCTCCGGAGGGGACAGAGGGGGTGACAGTGCATCCCCCGGCTGTGAGAGCAAAGCTTCCGCTGAGCAGGAAGGTCAGAGAAAAGAGGAGGCACCGGAAGCATAAGGACGCAGCGCACGGTAACGCCGATAAGACCGGCAAGGTAAGAACGAAATCGGCTAACAATTTTCTGAAACCTCCAGAATTGATAATTATCGATTCATAACGATAACACTTTGCAGGATGCATCCAAGAAGAAGAAACAGCCGCCACAGGCTCCACCGAAAAGAGCACCGGCGAATTCAGCCGAGGACTTCGCGAGGAAGAGATCGGCGGAAGCGACGGCAGCCGTGGTTCCAGAGAACAAGCGGAAAAAGACATTCCCAGCTAAGGAGAAGCAGACCTCGAGCAACACGGTGGCTAGCAACTCCGAGAGCGACAAGAGGAAGCGGAAGAAGCAGCACAAGAAGGAGGTGATCGACTATTCCGCAATCCAAGCGGAGAAGGAGCCGGAGCCGAACGCAGACCCGAAGAGCAAGGTTAGATCCTGGTTGCTTGCCTCGTCCCAGTGCCGACCCGAGACGATTCGAACAACTGGGACAGGTCTGCCGAAGAGCAAGTCGACTCCGGTGGGCTTGACCAGCGCAGGAATTAGACTACCAGCCACTAGACAGGTGAACGTCTCGCGAAGACCCGCAGAGACCAGAGAGCCTAAGCCGTCGCCTGGAAACGCGGCCAGGAAGGAAAGGGCAAAGCTGCAGGTGGTGTACAAACCGCCGTTCAGGTTCAGCGTGAAGCTGAAGAAGTCAGACAAGGTAGCTCAAGTGCCTGCCCAGCCGGCGAACGCGAGCCACGCAAACGGCAGATCGAAGCTGCCGAGGGCCGGGGTGCTGCTCAGGACGGCCAAGAAGAAGGACAGGGTCAAGATCGGCAGGGCCAGACAAATAGCGCCTACAGGAATCGGAAACGGTGCGGGTGATTTACCTGAGCCGGCCAATTCTGACCTGCACACTGTTCCTTCGGACCTGGAGGTGCTGCTGTCCGAGAGCGAGTTTCTCTTCTCGGACACGTGACACCGTCGCGACACGATACTGTTCCGTGGAATCCCGTCCGACGAGGTCGCGAGGGAACACCAGCGATCGTTCCGCATAGCCATCTTGTAGTTTCGTCGTCTCGGTCTCGCTGACAACAGGCGTGCGAGGGACAACACATACAAAAAAAAATCAAAATGCAATTTAAGACGTTCGTTGTCGGTGAGATCAAGCAGCGGAGAAAAGCACGGCTCGTTTCCGATGCACGGTTCTTCCTCGTTTCCGTCGCTGCGAACCGGTACACTCTATTTAGAAGAGGCTGAGCGTGCGACGCTAACGACGGGTAGCCGTGGCTGTTAGTTAATCCGGTGCGTGGCTGCCGCACGTTTTTATTCCGACGACTAGGACGAGAGACGCGAAAGCCCCGAAACGAGCTTCTTCAGTTCTACCGTGCTGGAATTTATTTTTCTACGGGTATGTGTAACGCGAAACGCAGCCGCGCGTATTTACACGTATTGCGTACGCTTTCGCTCTTCTTCACGTCTTCCTAGGGTATAATGTACGCGTACGTACGCTAGCGTGGTGGGTGTGGATGAAATGATGGTACCGTAGGACATAGTACGCGTTTTTTTATGGAAGAATGCACCTCGTAACACCGCGCGCCAGTGCTAGTTTCACACGAGACCCAAGCCAAGTTTTCTTCTTCCAAAGAAAAGGGGCCAAATTCAACTTTTAAAACGAAAGATTACTCTACGCGCGCCGCCTGTCGCGCGAGGATAAGCCGACGTACGCGTTAGATTTTTTACAGAGTGTTCCAGCATGAACGACCTTTATGTAATACTCGATCTCTCGATTCTTCTAGAAAACGTATCAATTTTATTCAGAATTTTTCTCTTGGTTCGCGTCGTATATTCTGGAACACTCTGTTAGTCTAAGATCCATACGAGAAAGGAATCACAGTGTTTCATACATAGCGTCGCGTTTTCCTATCGGGCACGGATATCGCTTCTGTCGATCATGAAGCGCGACGTTATGGAGGAAACTCTATTCTAGCGCGATATACCGTCGTATTTTCAGGACTACAAAAGACACTTGTAAACTATCGCTGTATCGTGCCTATTATCGTACACCGCTCATCGAAACTCGGATGAAAGGGATCTCGCAGTCGGAGAGGAGAATACTTTGCTTTCCTGGCGACGATAGTTGTCAGAGAGACAGGATGTCCGCAGGCAGAGGTTCTCGAATGTGTGTCTGTACACTTGGAAGCAATGATAGCAAGATGGACCATAATCCGACTCTACTTTTCTTAATGGAATAGAAAGTTTTACCGATCGATTCGTTAGTTCACAAAATGAATTTGTTTCTTCCTCTGATTCTCAGTAAACCTCTGTTTATGGTCCTGCTGGGTGGTTACACCGCTGCATCGATGCGTCCAAGTACGCCGGATTGCCTGCGCTTGCTGTTGATCTAACGTACTATTCTCATGGTTCCTATTTGGCCGGCAACTCCTAACATTGCGGTGTAAACCTTGCCGGATCATTTGCATTTCCAGTGCATAAGTGATGATGATGAAGATGAAGATGAAGATGACGATAATGACGATGATGATGATGATGATGATGATGACGATGATGATGATGATGATGATGATGATGATGATGATGATGATGACGATGACGATGATGT